CCCCGAGGGTGGTCCCGGTGGAGGGAGAGGCACCGGAGAGGAGGGGAGAAGCGGGGCTGCGCTGCTTATCCGGGGGACCCACCCCCACCCCACGCTTCCGAGCGTCCTTCTCCTGGATGGGGGCGTGGGGAGGCTCTCTGCAGTGCCCCCTACAAGAGGACCCCCTGCCCCCCACACCCCCTTTGCCCCTCCCCCTGCTTTCTCTCGAACACATCTGTTTCTGCAGGTGTATCTGTTTCTCTTGCACTGGGGAGCGAGCTCTGTGGGATGGGCAGGGGCTTCGATTGACCCCAAGCCCCCCTGCTCCGAGCCTGACGCTTCGAGAGTCCTTGGCAAACATTTGAGCGAATGAAGACGGGAGGGAATGAGTGAAGGGGTGGCGTGCTGGGCGGGGAGGCAGTGCTCCGCGTGGGGCTCTTGAACCTGCGAAATGGACCAGACTCGGGGGCTGGGGCTGCAGGTCAGGTGGGAGCGTAAAGTTGGGTCCACAGGGTCAGGAGAAGGGCGGGAAATGAGCCAGGCCCCCTCCGGTCTGGGGGCCGCCTGTCCCTCTGAAGTCAGGCACCTCTGAGAGAGTCCGGGGTTGGGAGGGAGAAGGTAGGTCTCAGCTTGTGGGGCTCCGGAGAGCCCCTGGGCTGCTGTCCACCCCACTCCCAGAGACGGGGGAGCCTAGCGCAGCCCCTGCCCGCAGGCCTCTTCTCCACCGTCATGCGGGACCTGGCCAACATCACTCACGACGGCCCCAAGTGGATCGTCCTGGACGGGGACATAGACCCCATGTGGATCGAGTCCCTCAACACCGTCATGGACGACAACAAGGTGCGGGGATTGTGGGGCCCAGAGCAGCCCCCCACCCAGAGCCAGAACCGCAGTGACGTGGGGCAGGGGGGCTCGTAGGTAATGCCACAGGTCTTTGAGAAAGTGATTCTCAGTCCCGGGGGAGGAGGGAAGCCCAGAATTCCCAGGGAAGGGGAGGGGTCGTGATTCCAAAGGGCAAGTTTAGCACCAGAGTGAGGTCCTACATGGTACACGTGTCTGGACGTCTGGACACTCTCCGTGGCCCCGGGGTGGGTGGGGCGAGGGGGTGCTGTCAGTGAGGAAGGCGGAGAGACGCTAGGTTAGTGAAGCTGGTCGGGGGCTGGTGGAGGTGTGGGGTCCCAGACTTCCTCCTCCTCTTCTGTGATGCGGCCGCAAGACACCCTCGGGACAGAGGGGGCCTAGGCAGCTGAAACCCGCCGGCCTGTGTCCCTCGCTAGGTCCTCACCCTGGCCAGCAACGAGCGCATCCCCCTGAACCGCACCATGCGGCTGGTGTTCGAGATCAGCCACCTGAGGACGGCCACACCGGCCACCGTCTCCCGAGCCGGCATCCTGTACATCAACCCCGCCGACCTCGGGTGGAGCCCGTGAGTTGGGCTCTGCCTCTGCTGCTCCAGACTGTGCGGGGAGGGGTTCAGAGTCGCCTGTGCACTCGTTCATTCATTTATTCATTCACTTGCTTCGTTCGTTCATTCATGAAATGAATGCCGTGTGCCGGGCCCTCCCCATGAGCATGTCATGCCCGGAGACTGCAACATGGCAGCTGATGAGACGATGTTTGCACCCCGTGCAGGGAACTCCGAGGCGGAGGGAGGGTCTGGGCCTGTCGTGGAGACAGGAAGTCTTCCTGGAGGAGCTGGAGTTTGGGCTGACCCTGGAGAAGAGAGGGAGCTTTCCGGGTGGACAAAGGGGGAAAGCATTCCAGATGAGGACCAGCATTTAAGGGGCATCAGGGGTGAGAGTGGGAGGTTCTGGGGTGGGCTGTGGTCGGGGGTGCGGAGGGTGTTCGTGGATGGGGTATGAGGTGTGAGGGCGCTCTTGGCCCCTGAGCTGGCCCTGAAGGCTGGTCCAGGGTCAGTCCCTTCCTGCCAAGAGCACCCTCACGTGGCGGGACATGTCTATTGAGGGGCCCGCTGTACGTGTCTGGGAGCTTTCAGGGTGGGCAGCAGACAAGGCAAGAGAACTGGAAGGAAGCCTGGGTGGGAGCTGCTAAGAGGCAGGGGGACAGAAAGAAGACGGGGTCAAGGGGCGCCCCGGCAGTGGGGATACCCAGTGGGGACGGGGAGGAGAGAACCGGAACATAAGCAGGGATGGGGCAGAACCAGCGACTCGCCCTTTAGCCAGACGTGGTTCTCGGGGCTCCAGAAGGATAACCATGGAGTAAGCCGCTCCTTGGGGGCCGGGAGGAGACCTGGGTTCTGCTGGAGTGAAGTGAAGAGGCTGAGAGCCAATGCAGGGGTCCCCCAAGAGAGAGAGCAGCCCCTGACCTTCCCCCCACGGCAATGGCAGCAATGGATAAATGCGGGGGTAGCAGAGCACATCCGAGGGGGCAAAGTGGAGCAAGGCTCCAGGGCCCAAGGGCCCCCACGGGCAGGGCTGGAGCCCGCCGGGCTGGAGCCGGGAGGACGCCCAGCTCCCCGGGGTGGGGAGGGTGTGTGTGTGTGAGAGTGAGAGAGCTGGCTTTTCAGGTCAAAGCCAGCATGCACATTTGCCTGCACTAAATGCCTGCAACAAGACAAAATGTAAAATTTGACACGTACGCCTTCAAGATGGAAGTTAAACGCGGCAGTCTCTGTAGAGTGGCAGACTGGTCTCCATTCTGAAGGCCTGTGCATGGAATTCGGTTCCTAGCTGGGCACCGTGCTTGCTTGCAGGCATAGACTGTTCAGAGGTTTGCTCTGTTCTGTGGACAGCCAAGTGCAGCAGGGCAGAGGGTCTCTGTGCTGCTGGGGGCGCGGTGAGAAGCAGGGCTCCCAGAGCACGAGGTCACTGGCAGAAAGGCGTGTCTGCCGGGGCTGCGGACGGCCTGCGAGCAGCGTTGGGTAACCCAGGCTTCCTGCCTACACTCTGGCGTCCTGGAAATGGCAGCTCACTGAGCTTATTGGCCCGCAAGGGAGCTGGCTGCTTATTTATGCTTTTAGCAGAGGCTTATTTCTTTTCTTTGAGCTTTAAAAATATTAGCCCTGGTAGTCCCTTGAAATGGGAGTTATATCATCACGCCCATTTGCAAATGAGAAACCTGAGACCCAGAGGTGGTGTGTAACTTGCCCAAGGCCACAGCTGGCCACCCTAGAGCCCATTCGTGCCAAGCAGTAGGAATCTAGAACCCATAGCCCTCATAGCCGTGGTGGGCCACCTCTACGCGACCCACTCCAGAGATGCACGTGTGCCAGACAACCCAGTGTGACTCCTCAGGAGTACTTGTCGTATTGGTTTGGACTCCCAAACCAATGTGTCAGTTGGCTCACTTCACCAAAGCATGCTTCAGGCATGGCTGGATCCAGGAGTCCAGATGACGCAATGATGTGTCCCTGCTCCTCCTCTTTCCCTTTTCTTCCCTTCCCATCTCTCTCCCTCTCTCCCCAGGTGGTATGAAACCTTTCTCTCCTCCTCTCTTCTGTATCTAGCCCTACTGTCCTCAGTATTAGCTGCATTTGGGGGGAGCAAAGATGGCTCCCAGTTGTTCTAGGCTGACGGCACCCTACAGCTAGACCGCAGTCCTCCCATGCCTCCCCACCTCCCCCAGGGTGGTGAGCAGCTGGATCGAGAGGCGCAAAGTGCAGTCAGAAAAGGCCAACCTGATGATCCTCTTCGACAAGTACCTGCCCACCTGCCTGGACAAGCTCCGCGTCGGGTTCAAGAGGATCACGCCGGTGCCTGAGATCACAGTCATCCAGATGATCCTGTACCTGCTCGAGTGCCTCCTCACAGAGGAGAACGTGCCGCCCGACTCTGCCAAGGAGCTGTATGAGCTCTACTTCGCCTTCGCCTGCTCCTGGGCCTGCGGGGGCGCCATGTTCCAGGACCAGGTGAGTGGCCGCCGCGGAGCGCGCGCCCAGACCAGGCCGCCCCTGCACCCACTCAGCCGGGCCCTCTCTGTGCATCTTGGTTTCGAGCAGCTGGTAGACTATCGGGTCGAGTTCAGCAAATGGTGGATCAACGAGTTTAAGACAATCAAGTTCCCCTCGCAGGGGACGGTCTTTGACTACTACATAGACCCCGACACCAAGAGGTTCCTGCCGTGGACGGACAGAGTGCCCGCCTTTGAGCTGGACCCCGACGTCCCGCTGCAGGTAACCGCAGCGTGGAGCGGGGCGGTGACTGTTCATGACGATTTAGGAGCGGGCCTCATTCAGCAGGGTGTCCGCTCACGGGTGATTCTGAGTAAAACTGGGGATCTAACCAACTGTCCAGGTGTGCAAGTCGGTCGCAGGCCGGGATGGGGGGCTTGGGTATGCCTGGGGTCACAGCTCCTCCCTCCCATCCCCCCGCCCTTCCCCCCGCCCCCTCCACCCAGGCCTCTCTGGTGCACACCACCGAAACCATCCGCATCCGCTACTTCATGGACCTGCTCATGGAGAAGTCATGGCCGGTGATGCTAGTGGGGAACGCGGGAACGGGCAAGTCAGTGCTGATGGGGGACAAGCTGGACAGCCTGAGCACAGATGACTACCTAGTGCAGGCCGTGCCCTTCAACTTCTACACGACCTCGGCCATGCTGCAGGGTGAGGCCGGAGTAGGGGTGCAGGGTTGCAGGTGGGGAGCAGGGCCAGGGTGAGGTTGAGGACCAGGGTGGGTCCTCAGAGCCTGGCCTGGACACACCCAACCCCACTCACCCAGCGTGGCTGCCCCCACCCCCCACCATGATGTCCCCCACTGTCCCTTCTTACCACAGACGGGGGGGACTTGCCAGTTGCCTCTCCACTTCCCATGCCCCCACCCACTGGTCTCTGTCCCCAGAGTAGGGGGACCAGGGTGGCAGGTCCCACAGGGAGCTCCTCTCCTATAAGCAGACTGAAGTGGCCC